GATGATTTCCTGCAAAAAGATGAAGCACGATGCAAGTAGATGCGAGAAATTAAAGATGATTTTTCGAAGATTGATTCGCTAGTGTGAGATTTTTTGAGCATCTATAATTGAGATTTAGATGTGTCGCCCCCTCGGTTTTGAGTTAATTTCCTTCATGTTTTTCAGTTTTTTCCAGGAAATTTTTTCCGAATATGAGAAAAGTAAAGATCGGATTCTCTGGATTTTCGTCAATTTTCCTAATTTTAGGGCAGATTTTTGAGGTTTCCCACAGGAAAACATGCGGCAAATTTACTCATCCTGCACTTTTTTCGAAATTGAGTACACTGTACTCAAATTTGCGTTGATCTCATTGGCCGTGTACAGTTTTTTTTTCGTAGTGGGTAAAGTTTGATTTTGTGACGAATTAGCCCGGGAAAGTGCCGATAATGTGTCCGTCGCGAGTTTTGGTGGCGACTCGATGTTTTCAGGGAAGTAAATGTGAATTAATGTAATGTAATGTAATTATGTTTTTTTAGGAAAGTGCACCAATCCTAAGCCTAATCTCGGTAGGAAGTCAGAAGCTGGATCCCGGCGGGAAGTTTGAAGCCGGATCTCTTTGCAGGTTAGTGAATGTGTTTACTAAAATCTAAAATAAAGTGGAAATCCGATGACGGATTCCATAGACGGATCCCGATGAAGGGTTCCGTAAACGGATCCCGATGAAGGGTTCCGTAAACGGATCCCGATGAAGGGTTCCGTAAACGGATCCCGATGACGGATTCCGTAAACGGAGCCCGATGACGGGTTCCGTAGACGGATCCCGATGACGGGTTCCGTAGACGGATTCCGATGACGGTTTCCGTAGACGGATCCCGATGACGGATCCCGATGACGGGTTCCGTAGACGGATTCCGTAAAAGGATCCCGATGGGGAAACCGAATACGGATCCTCCCGATGGGAAAACCGAATACGGATCCCGATGGGGAAATCAAATACGTATCCTGATGGAGAAACCGAATACGGATCCCGATGAGGAAACCGAATACGGGTCCCAATGGGGAAACCGAATACGGATCCTACACGCAAACCAAAAATCTATTACAATGAATGTTAGTTCCGTTTCCTATCATCCTCTGTTCATGAACATCGCAACGAATGTTAGAAATTGACCATGCAGGCGATGTAATGGTTTTTTGTCTTTTTTATTTCGTGTTCCATCTACGCTTTCGACTATACCAGTAAGCTTGTAGAACGACGTACATTGTAGAACATTGTAGAACGACGCACACACTTATCTCGAATCTCTCCAGCAGAAAAAGCATACGAAGTCGAGCATGCGAGAAAATGAGCGCTTGATGTTTGCTTTTAGGCTAACCATATTCAGAAGCATGGAGAGAGCAGTAGAGAAAGCACAGGTCTGATAGTCGCAACGTCCGTGGTTCGAGTCCAGTCGGCAACCTTTTTTCTATTTTTTTTTCGACATAATTAATTTCACTCACTAATACAACTCAACATTTTTCGGTCTCCAATTTTCTTACATCGGACCGCAGCTAGGTATATCGCATCCTCGGTTCATGCGGTCTCCACTTACATCCTCTGATGATGAATCCCACATAATTGTAAGCGAATCTTACATCCACCGGTTGGGTGTACCGATGCGGAAACCGAATACGTATCCTGATAGGGATTCCGTAGACGGATCCCGATGGGGAAACCGAATACGGATCCCGGTAACTCAAATGTTCTAAATATTAATTTCTTTAAATAAAATCAAGAATTTTATTATTATCTTCAGCAATCGTGGGGATGGGAGTGATAGGGCTGCAGATAGCAGTGGTGGGGGGACTTGGTGACTAATCCGATGAAACTGTCACTTCTTGAAGCTAATCTTTTTCGTATTTCTTTCATTCTCTTTTCGCACTTTACATATGACACCATCTATGTACATTGATATCTACATATCTACATTGATCCTACATTGATTCAATGATGTGCGGAGAGCTCATTCCAAATGATCAGTGGACCAGCCTCATCCCAGATGACCATGGCAATGCAAGAACATTTGAGATTTAAGAAAGTACAATTCTAATGTAAATTTTTCATAAATAATGCAAATTTAGAATTCTGTAGTATCTAATAACTATTTCTTCGAACTTTTAAGTAGTTTGGATAACAATTTGGCCAACGTATAAGATACTTACTTTACTTTTGCTGGTCCGACGTCCCTCAAGATTTGACCTTTATAACAAAGTTGCGCCAACTAACTCGGTCCCTGGCTGCTTGTCTCCAATTTCTCGAGCGTCCCATACTTCCTACATCTTGCTCCACTGGGTCTAACCACCTAGCACGCTGTACTTCTCTGTGTCTTGTACCGACCGGATTTGAGGAAAACACCATTTTTGCGGGATTGTTGTCCGGCATTCTTACAACGTGTCCCGCCCATTGTACCCTTCCACCTTTAGTGACTTTCTGGATATTGGATTCGCCATAAAGTTACGCCAGTTCGTGGTTCATTCTTCTCCTGCATACACCATTTTCATATACCCTGCCAAAGATGGTCCTAAGCACGCGTCGTTTGAAAACTCCCAGTGCTCCTCGAGCATTGTCCATTGTCATATTTTTCATGCACAATAATTTTGTTTATTATATATTTGCAGTTCGTCAATAAGGTAGAACACTGGCAGCCCAAAATTTTCCGCATTTGTGGATCATCTGTGGAACAGGCAGCAATTTTTTGAGCGATCCGTGAAGGGGAAGACTTGCCACTTGTATATCCGAACAGTGGACCAAACAAGCCAGCAACCTCGTCCAAAATGTCATGCATTATTGACAAATTGACACAGCGGGTCGATTTAAAGGGAGATCTGGAGGCACAGTGATCACATTGCCATGATTGTCTGGTAGTTCACTCAAAAATGCTATAACAATCGCCAAGCTCGCTGTAATGTCACCAAGTGCCTCGTCACCTACAAATTGGCGCCTATGTTAGTGGTCTAATAACTCTTAGCGCGCTAATGGCATAGTTTCCCTGCCGCATAGAGAGTTGCCGCAATAATATTAGGTTAGATAAGGTCAGTTAACTGACTGGTGGGAAACGGGAGCTTCAGCATTGACTGTTATGTACGCATTTTTATGATTTATGATTTATCTAACAACAATGGTGTGTAGTGTTTACACGATCATGTTTCTAATTCTTATGTGTTGTAAATATAATAGAAAGCATTTGAAAAGTAAGATTCTAGTGTTTTGTATATCTAAAAACATTAGTAAACATCTACATTTGAAAACATTTAAACAACGTGTACTTCTCGGTTTACTTTAAACGTTTTGTACATCTGAAAACATCAGAGAACAACAAACACGAAGTACAATTGCAAACATCCGAACAACATCAAATTCAATTTTAAGCAGCTTCCCGGTCAAAATTTTTACATCGCGACTGAACGTGGAGACGCGAAGAAGGCTATGATTTGGCAAGCGAGTTTTACATCGAAGTTTACATCGAAGAAAGCCGCAAGTGGAGGGACAAAGTCATTTTTTCGTCCGATTTGGCCAGCTGCCACTACTCCAAGGTGGTTCTCAGGTGGTATGCTGTCAACAAGATCGATGTTGTCCCCAAGCTAATGAATTCTGGGCAATTTCAAAGCAGTGACCTCGACGAAGCGGCGGAGCAGTCAAGGACATCCAGCAAATGCGGGTCAAGATTTCGGTCGAACTGGGGAAATGTAACCATCTAATGCTGTAACTTTGAAGTTTTAATAAAAGTACTGTAAAGCATCTATTAATGGACTTTATTGACACTTATTGAATCACGAATCACAGGTCTTTTTGTGCGTACAAATTTACTTTAAGTCAGTCTTTACTTCTCAATTGGCCGCAGTTCTGGCACCGGTTGGAAACTAACGATTTAAAATTGGCTCGATTAGCAATAACGTACCCCATTATAGTCAAAATTCTAGTACTACACAATGTTTGTTTTGATTCGCTAAGAAAGTTTGACAAATAAAATGAGGGGTTCGTGGATTTTCTTATGTTTCGAGGGGGGCATCGCTTAGCTTGGGACCGAAGATAGTACCAGAGCTGAGCCAAAAAACTTCCATAACGGCTTGCAGCAGTCCCTTCGAGTCTGCCATCGTTGAAGATTAAAAAAGATAGCAAACTAAGCTTTCTCTTTCTAAGAAAACGATGTGCAATGGAATCATTTTTGTGTCGAGTCAACTCTAAGCTTGATTTTTGCACGTTGTGAATAGTTTCACAATATCAAAAGAGCTTGTAAAATCAATATCAAGCATGATATTTTGTTCCAATATCACGCGTCATATTGCGAGCGCATGAGAGCGGAAAAATATCAATTGATTTCTGATTTTGCCAACACTGGTTTTGATTGTCCAATATCCAGATGGTCTAGATTGACGAATAAATAAATACATGAATCACAGTGTGGCCGGAGGCTGGACAAACCCTACTTGCTTATGTATCCTGTAAACCTCTAGGGCCAACGTAAAAAAAATTACATCCTGAGCGACTGCTTGCTTTTGCCTGGTCAGATTCCTGTCGACTTCCTTTATTTCCTTGTTGAGGCTCCACCGCCATGAGCCTCTGTTCTGCTGCGATATCCTGCCGGGTTACAATCCAGCGCATGCCTTCTTGATGACATCGATGATGAAGCTCAGCATTCGAGTTCCAGTTCCAGTTCAGATGACCCCAGACACGAATTAAAGACTGTCTGGGGAAAACAGTTGGAAATGATAAACAGCAAATTGACTTTCAGCATCAAATGAGGTTGATACAACAGCGGTACAAAATCTGATGGAAGGTGTGAAACGAAAATCCCGATAGTTCGCATTTGGAAAATCGAAAGCCTAATCAAATAATTTTCCTGTATTTTGTATTCTGTGAACTTCAAAAAGAAATAAAGTTTGATCATTTATACAATAACATAATCAGTGTGCGACTAATTTTTGACCGTTCCACCCTTTACTGCAAATCATATTAACACGGAGATATAAGTTTTCAGCATATATATATTTCACTATTGAAGAATTTAGAACAAAAATCACATCAACAAATTGCAATCGCTGTTACTTATTCCAGACTTTTTTTTTCTTAACCTTACAAACTACTAAATATGTGTAAATCGCTGCACCTGGACACCCGACCCGCAGATATGAAATATTTAAATTTTCAAATCGGAAGCTTCGACCGCGTATTCCGCCGGCACACGCATATGATTTTCAGTGTTTTAAACAGTATTGTCAGTAGTAGGAATGCTAGTGGTATGACCACCACAATCACATACGAGATCAGCTGATGAAAGCGTTTGGTGGTCCACAGTACCGTATACTTTAATGTGGTGCCATCTGCGTCGAAAAAAGAACAATTTGACTTTTATTTTGAATTGAAACTCTGAATTTATCCTACCGATTACTGCAAATCCATAACCGATCTCCGGTACGCCCATCCTGTACGAACAGGTGGGAATTACAATCTCCAGCAATTCATCCGTGTCCTGGTGGTAGCTTAAATCAAACGTGTGCACTTTGTAAGCCGTCTTCTTGTCACCGCTCAGTGGCTTATAGGTGGCCGCTCGCAAGCGCTTCCGGTGTATCCGCACGAAGCGGGAAGCATGCAAATGTCCAGAGAATATCACATTCGGTTTGAGCTTCCCTATCGCCTGAATGGGGGAGAAGTGATGCTTTTATCAGTAATCTGCCTTGAATATGCAATCTAGTTAGTTTATACCTCATAAGTAAAAGTCCCTGGAGAGCTCAAAAATGGCAAGTGACTCAGGAAGATCCTGATATACCGATCCGATACGTCCTCTCCCTCCTTGTTCACCAACCGAGGATCCTTCAATGGCCTCTCGAGTGTGATCTTGTTAATGTTATAGATGGTAACGTTATCGTTGATGATCCAAGCCGGCTTCTCGCTGAAATACTGCCGGAACCGTCGCACTTTGGAAGGTTTAAGCTCCTCACCAGCATCACCCCCTATGTCATTGTCACCGGGTATATAAATTGTCTGGGAAATGCATTTCAACGACATAAATAAAATTTTAACCTAATTAGATAGAGCAACATACCTTCGCAGATGGATGCGTTGGAAAGATTGACCCAAACCGTTCAAAGTACTGCTCAAAGTGATTCTCGTTGGAAGTGCTTCCCTCGTCCATCAAATCGCCAAGAAAACATATCACATCCGGTTGCACGTGCTCGACGGCCTTCTCGTAGTACCAGGCCAGATATCGATCCGAGTCAAAATTAGCCATTGCAGAGTAGTACCTGGAGTCGAAGGAGTGGCCTAGAATTTGCGGATCTCCGACAAGCAGCATTCGAAGACAGTTTTCTAAAAAAGTAATGTATTTACTCCTTCTGTTGTTATGTTGCAATCCATCAATTCGTACATACCTTCTTTACAAGAAATATTCGACCATTTAAACTTCTGTAGGACATAAATAAAGACTTCGTTGTACAAAGTAAGTAGAATTATTAAAATACTGTAGATACGCCAAATAGGATGCAACCTACAAGAGAGCAGAAATCTTAGATCAGCCCGATTTCTTTAGAACAAAAAACTCACCTCATAAACTTTTTTCTCATTCTGGATAGTGATAGTCTAGCCATTTTTCCCTCTTGTCCCAAAAATAGCACGACATATTTCACAGTCCAAAGACTGTCATCAATTAAAACTTATACTTGCCACCCGAAGGAACATTGACTGAGCAGTAATGTTACAGCCTTGACATATTCAACCACAGAAAAATTTACCAAACCATATTCAATAGATGTTAACATCGACGGCGACCTAATATACAAACAAAAGAAGTTTAGCGAAACAGCTCTAAGTGGCAAATGTCAATAAAGTTTAATGTGACTGCAATGTGCCGCAGCTGATCTGAACATAAAATATAAACTGTCCACGAGTACAAGCTCAAGTCTACTACTGAAATTGACAGAAGGATAGCTGCCTCGGTGCCACTACAGTAACTCTGATACACTCCTATACCAACGTAGCATATATATGTTATCATCGGATTTATGCTGCGTAGAAATAAACCCACTCGGGGAAGGTGTGCTCAATGTATGCTGACTGCTTGGTATGAGAGTGGAGACCAATACTGAGAAGTAGCACCAAGGTGCGGATGGACACGGTTTAATTTGAACTGAATAGTAGAATCCAAGTGAAATTTATGCGTCACTAGTGACGGGAAATAGTACTAGTCGATGGTGATAAATTTATGGCAGCCGGTTTAAATTCCAGAGTTTTAATGATAAATTATTGAAAAAAGAGTTCGAAATAGTGAGATACGAGCATTACTTTGGATGATACATGTAGGAAATTTGTCGAATAATGTAATGTTATGTTAACTTTCATTGCAATGTCATTGAAAGATAATGAAAATGCGTTTTTTGATGCACCGATATTATTTAGGTTATGTTTTGTATGATTGAAATCGACGTCCAAGTCAGTCAACAAACGGATGATGTTGGGGACTCCGTGCTAGCGGATTTAGAGACCTAGCATATTGTGTGCCTGGGTTACACTAGTGGATCGGCAGCAAAGCAAGAATTGAGGGGAATGAATTTGTTCGCAAAGTTCCCATCCCGGGGAGCGGCCACATGAAATTAATCTCAAATTACCCCCCGACAACAAACTTTAGAACTTATATTCTTCTGATCCGTAAACAGTGGCAACTTTTCTGCACTGCACGAATTTGTTGCTACCCGAATTCGGAACTCGAAAAAGTTGAAATTTGTTCTCGTTGCATACCGGGATAATGCAACGATCAGAGGTGGCAACAGTACATTTTTTGCAAAACCATCGTCCTGAGCAAAACAAAACCGCCAGTACACGGGCGGTCGTGTATTTCTACAATACAAACAAACGGCGGAGATAGGAGAATAGGAAAAATGTCGTAGCGCATTATTTTTCAAACAGTTTATTGAAATTCCATTTTAGCTGCAAGCTTTCGTGTCACAGTAAATTATTAACTCCCTTATTTACGCATAATTTTAACATCTTAGCTTATGAGTGGTTAGTATTCGTTCTTAATTTATAATTCCATGCAGTAAACATCAAATAAATGCTATAATAATTAGCCAGAAATCAGCAAAATTCTACATGACATAAATTAATGTCGCACGCGCCGCTGCTTTATTGTGCGCAAATGTTCTGCCGCCTGCAGAACAGAGTTTAGAAATGTCATGACATTTTTCCGTTTGCCAGTTTGTGTTTGTGCGTCTTCTGTATGGTCATTGCGCAAAGTATCAAATGTTAAGGAAAAACGTTGAACTCCAGTACTCGTGCCACCACTGGCAACGATCCTGCAACAACAATGAGAATGTTAAGCGGTGGAGCTTGTGTTTACGTTGTCTAAAAATTCAACTATTTTCCTGATTGCAAGCAGTGTTATCATTGTAGTGATTTGTCACTTTGAAGAAGGACACTTTTCCTACAATTCTGCAAGCTTTTTGACCACCAAAAACGTACCAAGACAAGACAAATTTTCAATTTAAAAAGTGGCAATTCTGATGTGAGTGAGTGAGTCACGTCTGACAGATGTCTACATTTTTATCACCGCTACGACAACAGCGCAACGGGTGGCCGGTAATTGGTTGGATTTTACTATCGAACAATGATAATATAATCATAATACATTTTTCAAAAGGTCATTGCTTCGCTGTTGATTAGTTTATACTTATGTTCTATCAATCACTTTAAAAAACATTTGATTCACTCACGTTTATTCAGAAAACTTATCAATCTACTGCATTTTTACAAACTTTTCCATTCGAACGTCCACTAGGAACTGACTGACTTATTCTAAAGCTACTTTCTATCAAACGTACCATAGTGTTACCTAAATCGCTTCGGTCAGCTGGGAACGATGAAGGGTCACGCGATGTCCGTAGCCCAAGAAGTCACGTCGCACGATTAAGGTTGCACCTCGTTGTTTACTCGGAAGGTGTGTACTGCTACAGCGTCACCATGGCTACTGCCGTCTAGTGCCGCGTGGTAACGTTCGATTATTGGTGTGTAGAGGAGATTCCGTATATAACTGTAGTAGTATACTTAAACGAATATGCAGAGGCGTCACAGGAGTGGAACTTCGGATCAGGAAGTGGCTCCACTTGTCATTTGCGAACACTAGCGCACCTAGCGGTAGAAGGCATCTTCTGCCTGCAGTTAAGATAGGCAGCGTGCTATGATAGTGTGAGTGCACATAGAAAGCCCGTGTGGAACGCTACCACAACACATCGCTTGTTGAGTAGAAAAACGAAGCACTTTTGATTCACCGATTTGTTTGCACTTCCCCTTCTGTCTTCAGCGCTTCTCCCTTCTGCATGGAGCGCTGTTGAATGATTGTTTGCGTTCGGTTTAGCTATATGCTTCATAAGACTAACGATAACTTTTATAACACTTCAGTTAAACCGATTGACAAGAGCTGTATAGAACGTGAAATAAAAGCATTATACTCCAAAACACTTCTTTTATGCAACACAATGTATTGAGTTTAACACGATCATGAAAAACAATTTCAATTACTATCACTACACACATTGTTCAACAACACTAAAAGTTGCTGTCAAGCAGGTTGTACTAAGCAACTATTACTAGATCATTCTAATCATGTGGTTTTATTGCTTAATAAACGTGTTATACGGGTTTCCAACAAACAATTGAGAGCACTTATGAAACACATAACCCAACAACAAGTAACAAGCGCTTATTTTGGCGTTCCACGACATACATGTCCCGAAGGCAGTTTGTGTTCTCCATAGTTCGGCCAACGGGCTTTACTTAGTCCCAGGATTCTGTGATTCAGGCATTGTGTCACGCTGGTGAGTTGTGCCCAGAGACGTAGTGAGGGTTGGCGGCGCCTCTGGCAAACCAATAAAATTACGCCCCATCTCAAATAGCAATTTTTTACACTCTTGGGTAATTTGTGACTTATGTTGACGAAAGTGTTTGTATTGTTAATATTGCACATACATGAATTTACAACATTTGATCTACATTAATTAATTATTATTCTTACATATACAAGTTTGTGATATGTCGAGTCAAATAGATCGATACAACAATAAAATCCGTTTTTATCAGTTGCAATAACGTTTATTCACATTTGTATTTTGTAAGTTAAAATCAATTCAAAATTTCACCTTACGTGCCTTAGCTGAAGCAAACTGATCCACAATAAGGGTCTGTTCATAAACTACGTAGACAGTTTATTTGGGATTCTTAACCCCCCCCCCTCCCCCTGCGTAGACAATTGTCCATACAAAAATTTTAAAATTTATATGGGCCGTGGATAATTGTCAATCCCCCCCCCCCTAAACTGTCTACGTAGTTTATGGACAGCCCCTAACGTCTAAATCAAGTTCTGGGAGCGATTCCTTCTCTATAGAAAGAATAGCCAAGCCAGAGAGTCTTTTTTTTTTCTTTTGGTTTGTTTTTTTCCGTCGATCTTGTTTTCCGTGCTGAGCACCAATGCTATCGACGTGCCAGGAAGGCAGCTCCCACACCTGGACCCTACCTATCGACCCATCAACTCATGAACCGGGGACCAACGGCTTTACTTCCCATCCGAAGGAAGGCGTGATCAGAGATGTTATGCCTCAGAACATCCCGGCGGCGCTGACTGGTATTGAACCCAAGCCTACTGGGGTGAGAGGTAATCACGCTTACCACTACACCAACGGCGCCGTTAAGCCAGAGAGTCTGTCTTGGCTCATTTTAGAACGAAGATAGTTTTTTATTATTTTCAGCTTGCTGAAGCTACGTTCACACGAAGTCACTGTAACTGGAAGCGTCAAAAAAATTCGTAGAGCCGTTTCGATGTTAGGATAAACTTCTTCGAGATAATATCCAAGAATACAGTTCAAGATGTGTAAGGGAGTCGAAGAGCTCAGGTCAGGCAACAGCTCATTAATCTGTGTTTAAAAAACTTCTACCTCAGATACAAGCTTTACTGTATCAATGTCAGTAGAATACTTTAGCCCAAAGTCTGCCGCGACCTTCTTCAATTGTTGTATAGTCATAGAAGCGAGTCCGTGACCTGTCAAAAATGAAAATTCCAAAGCTATATCCGCCATTGCTTCTCCACGCTGTTCCATCTGTTGGAGTATTTTGTCGAATACGGAGCTTACTTCCCGCTTAAAGCTGTCTTTACTTGATAGAGGAGCTCGAATATCTGTGGTTCTATGTCCATCGATCTTTTTCATTTTCCGCTGTCCTGTCAATTGGAAGTTGTTGTCGATGCCAGTTCAATGGATTTTTCTTTCGCATACTGTATTGCACGATCAGCTCCACCCGTTTTCATTCCCTCAAATGATGTCTGTAAACCTCTGATAAGTTTACAGGCCACGTCTATGGTGATGGATTTTGCCTGCAGTGATTCGTTTACTTTGTCGATATTATTCAAGATTCTCTCCCATAGTTCGAGAAGACAAAGAAACTTAAAATCTATTTGTTTTAAAAGAACTTGAGCACCGTGCACCGTGGCACTATTATACTTTGTCAACTCAGTGAAATCGGTTAAGATGGAAAACACGGAACAAATTGATCGTTTTAGAGCAGACACTGCTTGTCGTTTAGACGGCCATCTAGTATCGGAATGCCCTTTCAAAGATACTCCCAAAGACTCTTTAAGAACACTCCATCGCGTAGTTGAGTTACTGAAATATTTGAACATTTCTTGTACAGTTCCGAAGAAGGTTATCATTGTAGGTGAAGTACTGGCTGCATGAACTCCGACAAGATTTAGACTATGGGCAGCGCAAGGAACAAAACGGGCTAGATTGTTAATTTGGTAAATTTCGGCCTGTTTTTTTTTTAACTCTTTATTTGTTCCAAATTCAAAATAAATTACATTTCATTTTAACCTAGGTGCTCCAGTTACTACAGTAACTTACCAGCCTTAATTATTATGATATATATC